GAGTTGAAAATATAATAAATCAACTTCCTTCCTTAGCAAAGCGGGAGACAGAAGAATTAAAATAGGCATACACCTTTTTTAAATAGGGAAACACTACGGCTATAAAATATTGTGGGTTCTAAAAGAGATATGTTTGATTTCTAAAATATGTATGAGATATCCTTTTTTTTTATTTAATTATTACATTAAATTTGACCGAGTGAATGAGGTTATCTGAGTCCACCTTCCACCTGATTAAGGAGGAAGAGATTCAAAGGGTGATAACGCATTTGTGACCTTTAAGTTGTAGGTGTTCATGGGCGATGCTAGTCACTTGCCATCAGGCGACCCGTCTTCTTGTTTGCCCCCCTTTAACGAAAAAAACTTTTATTATTATATTACCACCACCTCTATTCATCCCGTGGGTGTCGTAAACAACGACTAAACAAGCAAACTACGCAGGACAACAGCACTGTAAAGAGAAGTAAAACTTGAAATAAACCCTATACCAACCCGTCTGGCCAGCGTGGTATAGTATGCCAAACCCTCTTTTCTAAGGAGAGACCTATGTCCTGCAGTGGACTATTAAAGGCTGTTGATGATGATGATGATGATTTTATCAGTTTCATTTCAAGGTATTTTATTTTAGTGCTTACATATGCATATATATTTTAATGCTGTTCCATACTTTCAGAGAGGTCTAATTGTAAACATTTAAACCGAAAAATTTATTGTAGAAAACTATTTTCTACTATTGGAGTCGATTAATTGTTTTAACATTTATCTTACCCTGTACAAAACATTTTATTTTTAAGTTACAAAACATTGGAAACATGCTTTCAGTTGAAAAGGCTGTAAGGAACACAATACGATACGTACACATGAGAACCCATCCAATCAATCGTGCAGATTTAGGGCCAACAAATTGGGACCAATCGAGTGAAGCCAACATGATTGCACAGATTTAGTGTTCTCTGATATGGAACTATTGTAAATAGCCGTCAATGTCGCAACACGTTTACAGCGCGCATAAAACCGTATGATTTATTGCATTTTACAATATGTGCCACTCTAGACTGTACTAAATTTATGGGTATGCGGCTTATTACAATTGCAAGTGGAGAAAACAGGTATAGGCATATTTTTCTGTAGAGGGGGCAAGTGGGCAGATGGATTAACTGATGGTGAAGCGACTACCACCGCCCAACATCAACAGCCTTTAATATTCTTCTTCTGGACACAAGCCTCGCCTTACAAAAGAAGGTTTTGGCCTACTATACCATGCTGGCCAGAGGGGTTGGTATAGGATTTTTGTGTCAAGTTTTCCTTCTTTTTGCAGTGTTGTTGTCCTACATAGTTTGATCCCTTAGGCGGCTCTTACGACACCCACGGGATGAATAGCGGTGGTGACACTCCGTATTCTTAATCCGTCACCACACGGTATCGCCGCCCCTCCAATGGAGTGGGGGGGGGTTTCTCAGGTAATTTCACTCACTGGACAATAACAACGAAAAATCTGCCCAAATCCGGTTTTCTGTGGGGCTGTAATACTTGGGTCGATTCAACCTATTTTTGCCGAAACACGGCTTTCCCACGATTTTTGTTGGAAAATAATTAGAATAAAATCAAGGGTACATTTTGTATATGATTGTTACTAAAGTTTGTTACTAAAGCTAACATAAAACTAGTATATGACTATTCTAAAATATGCAAGATTGAATGTAATGAGGTGAAAACAAAATGTAAAAAAAATATTTTGCAAACGAGTATTTATAACCATAACTTCAACTCGAAAATTCAGTTTTACTTTGACTTTTATGTCCAGTTTAACAAGCTATACACACACATCCCATAAATGTACGTACATAACATACAAGGACAGAACAGGACAGAGGTGTTTTAAAACGAAAACATTTTTACGAATATAATTTTATTATGTATGGAGGCAAGTCTATTAAAGCTAACCGGCAAGTCTATTAAAGCATATATTTTACTACCACCCAGACACACAAAAATGTAGTAGAATATTATTATATTATTATTATTATCTCCAGATAGACCAAACCGCGTTGCCCAATCCCGCAGAAACTATGCAATATGCGAGCCGACACGAACTCTTATTATCTTTGCACAAAGATTTTATATGTTCCGTGGATCTAAGTTGTTCAATAAAATAAATCAATTAATGCCCATAGTGAGCTGTACGAAGATAGACTGCAAAACCAAAATATAAAAGCTACTATTCAATCTAAACTATTTGGCGTATACTAGTGGCGTAGTCTGTGATAATAAGGAAAATAATTGTATGTATGAATATACATATATATTATATATAAACACATACACCCGCACACACACACACACGCGCACACACACATACACATGTACACACGCTTGCGTACATAAATATCCACTTAAACATAGCATTGACAATATTACTGGGACTTCAATATTGGAGGCCTGGAGCTCTAAAATACACAAATTACTAATTAACAAACACATTTGTCAACTTAGATATTAAGACTGGTGTAATTCGTGATTTTTTTATTAATAAATTGTTATTGAACCTGGCTGGTAATGAAGCCGGAGGTCGTGTGTTCAATTCCCATCCAGGACAAATAATTGTCTGATGAGCACGATCATTTGTTCTGTTTCTGGGTGTAATTAATCTATAATATGCATGTATTTTGATTTATATATATTTAAGTATGTTTATCAGCCAGTCTGGTTACCATAGCACAGACTGGAATCAGACTCCCGTGTGTAAGATGTGTGAAGCTATTATTTATCCTGGGTCCATCCAATCCATCCAATCCTCTAGGGTAGCAGTCAGGGCCGCGAGCCACTAGATCAACTTGCTGTATTAATGGGCCGGAAAAATTTTTGGACAACCATTAAAATATTTATATGTACAACATTGTCCGAAATTCTTAGAGTTGCAAACTTTGGGTCTACAGGGTGTACTAAAAACCGTTACGGTGATATTTTCACTTTCTTGTTTGCCCGTGGGATGATGGGATAATTCCACGGTTACGTATAATCACGGGGACTGTAAGAATATTCAAAAGTAATCCTATCCGTTTCGAAGCATCCTGACGATTGAGATATTGTTTCTTTTAAAAAAGACAACTCCCGCATTAGGAATATATTATATATCCTATGTTGCAGGGGGACTTTACGGAATACATTAAACGGACACAAAGAACACCCAGACTCAAAACAACAATTTGTGGATCATACAAAGTGTGGTCCCATATGGTGATCGAACCTACAACACTCAGCATAGTAGGAAGAGGCGTCACGACCGCTTAAACCACTACGCCATCCGTCCAGTCTTTTTTTACTAAATTTGTTTACAAATAATTGTTTTTTTTTGTTTTACTGCGATAATCACATATGTAACCCCTTTGCGAGAACTGAAAATAAAAAAGTTTTGTGTATACATATATTGAAATCTAATGTTAATGGAATTTTAGTCAAAATCATTATATATTAATTCAAACTATCTGTACCTAATCTGGAGATAGTGCAGGATGTATTCCTTGTTCAACGTACTCTGATTAGCATTTTGATCGTTCGTATTCAAAATCGCCAGGCTAACATTCTCTTCCCCTCAATTTGAAACGCAATTCGGAGACTATTATTTAACTATTCGAACGAGTTTCCTTTAATGAACTCACCTAAATAAGGAGTAATCCATAAATTACGTTACACGTTGAGAGGGGGGAGTCAGTTAAATGTGGTTTATGTGACGAGAGGTGTTACAGCTATAATCTACGTGACGTCACATGCATAACATAAACTGTAAACCAAAAAATATATCGAAAATGCATTTTAACTTTTAGGCTTAGGGTTCGAAGTCAGAGATAGAAAATTATTCCTTTTATCATAAAATCTTGCTTCACATATACATTTTTTTTTTAACTCCCGCATTAGGAATAAGTATATTCTGTGTCAAGGGGGACTTTACAAACATACATGAAACGGACACAAAGAACACCCAGACTCAGAACAACAATTTGTGGATCACACAAATTGTAGTCCCATGTGGGGATCGAACCCACAGCACTTAGCGTAGTAGTAAGCGGTGTGGCGACCGCTTAAACCACTACGCCATCCGTGCAGTCTAAATGGTACTGAATTACACTTAATTTGACTAAGTATACAGCCATATATTCGATGTCATACATTATATTAATCGGCTCTCAGTCGGTGGTCAGTCTCCAATTACAAGACGTATGCGAATTCGATTTCTTTGAGCACTGTCGTCTAATTCCCTCTTCAGTTTCCCCATTCGAATATGTATGAACGGCAATAGCGATATCCTTCTTTCCCTAGCTCTTTCACTTTATGTCTTTCTTTACCCTTATTTACCTTCTTCTTTTTACATCACACATCAAATCAATAGCCTTTAATAGTCCACTTCTGGACATATGCCTCTCCTTAGAAAGGTTTTGGCCTACTATACCACGATTCAGCTTTCCATCTCTTTGCAGTGCTGTTGTCCCGTGTAGTTTGCTCCCTTAGTTAGCGCTTACGATACCCACGGGATGAATAAGGTTGGTGAAACGCTGTATTCTTAATCCATCACTTTATTCCTCTTTTATTTGGTCTAAAAGCGAGGAAATTTCCAAGAAAGATTGACATTAAAAGATATCAGACAAATCGTTTTGAAAATATGCATTGCACCGACCCCAAATATTTATAAGAAGGCCGGAAAATACTGATAATGGTATTTATCAGCTATCAAATATGTAATTAAAAAATCCACTTCAAAATCCCCCAAGACGTGTGTCACTATTATTCTTAAACAAGCGAATGTAACTTATTCTTCAAATACTTTCTACTGAAATATAACAAACGTTGGAATTCAATTCGATATTAAATTTAATCTTTAATATAACAATAAAACGAATAGCAAAAACAAGTTATTGAATAAAACGTGAATGCTCAAAAGATAAAACTGAGGTGTAGTCTTTGCTGCATGGAAAATAAAATGTGCACAAAGTGAATATTGCAGTATGTTTGCTTTAAGAGTGTCCGTTCTCGTTTGGGGAATGGTAGCAGCCAAAACCTCCGAGGTAATAATAATAATAGTTCTGTTGCAAATGCTAGTACAATCTATAGTTTGGCAACTGTGTGGCGTAAAAACACTGAAGAGAAGAGAGAACCAAATAGAAACATATCTGACACTTCATGATACTTTACTGGGTGTATTATTTCATTGTTTTTAATATTGTTGCGGTTTATTTACTGTGTGCGTTCGCGGAAGTTGTGTAGATAGTATCGTTTTTTTTTTAATATAAAAGATGGAAGGACTGCGTCATCGAGGATATGGCTAGTAAGGGAGTAGGCAGTGGACTGACGAGTGATAGGAGAGAATGAAAGAAGACTCATTGCACCAACCCCAAATAAATTTGAGAAAAGAGCAAGATGATGATTATGAGTTGTAGTTTCCTTTTTAGTGGAGTCTCTCATCACAGGACGGACTTACCCGTATGTGATCCCGGTTTGCTTGAGCTACTGCAACCTCAGCCCTTTGTACCATATTATTTTTGTAGCATGGCTTCTGTGCCTTCCTCCTAAAAGAGGCTGAGTTAGTTTCAGAACTATGCAGCTAATGTCTGAACGCATAATAATCCGCGTATGGTTCTAAATACGGAAACAGAGCCCCTGAGTGGAAAGGATGTCATGTTCTTCCAATACAAAGGGAGGACCCTCCGACCAGGCCAGGTGATCATGCTTGGGGGGTTGCGACCCAACGGTTAATGTTGGCAAGTTGTATATGTGCTAATCGGCGGTAGAATCATTGATATCGCGATACAAGATTAGCAGTTAGACCGTAGTTCGGTGTATCTTCGTTAGATGGCACCGTAGTGTTTCTTCGTTTCACCGTATGTGGAAGTCGCCACACCCCAAGCTAAGAACATTTTCTTAGGTGGCAAAGAGTATCAACAATACATGAACTAATATGTTTGTAATAAAAAATTTAACCGTACGCCGTCTCGGGTACCAGTAGCCGGGTAACCAGGTGTACCCTAGAAAGGAAATCCCTGGTACCCCGACGTACCCCGGGGCATCTACGGCGGGTAGATGACTCCCTCCTGTGTGGAACCCCCATGTTCCCGTGGTGCTCCTCTCTTCCCTTTTGGACACGCGCGCTCGGCAGCGCGTCTCGCCGCCACCCCGGTCTGCTTCTGCTAGGGTTATCATATTCACCCTTTTTTTTTTTTTTTTTTTTTTCCGTGCGGAAATCCCCTTGGATACCACCTGTCGTTGGCATGTCGGACTCGAACCGACTAAAACCGCACGCCGTCTCGGGTGCTAATAGCCGGGGAACCAGGTATACCCTAGAAAGGAAGTCCCTGGTACCCCGACATACCTCGGGTCATCTACAGACGAGTAGACGACCCCCACCCTTTTGGGAACCCCATGTTGCCGGTGCCCCCTGGAAGCGAGCGCACTTCGCAACGCGCTTGCCGCCACCCCGGCCTGCTTCTGCTAGGGTGACAGATGGCCTCACCTGTCACCCCCAGGCCTGCGCTTATGGAGGACGGAGGTCGTTCTGCGACCTCCGGCGCCTGAGTCGCCTGCGGTACCTGGCCCGTTCCCGGGCCTGGCGGGCCGGGAGAGTCCTATACCTCTCCCGGTCCCGCTCCGCCGTCTCCTTCGCGAGCATAACTTGCTCGCAGAAGGAGACGGCAGAGTTCCACGCACTTTCGCTCCGCACGATAGCCGCAATCAGGCTATCGAGCGAGAGAACTCCCACTCCGATGGCCGCCACGAGGTCTCGCCTCTGCTCAACCCACGCCGGGCACTCTGCCAGCGTGTGGAGAGCCGTGTCCACGGTCTGGCCATCGCAGTGGTGGCACTCAGGCGTTGGCTCCTTGCGGATCAGACACAGGTGATCCCCGAAACATCCTTTCCCAGTGATCACCTGCGTCAGTCGGTATAAGAGGGTCCCGTAACGCCTCTCGAGCCAATCCTCCATAACGGGTCTTACCGCCGCGATGACGGCGTGCCCGATCATATTCACCCTAGTATTTACAAAGCATTTTCATTGCTAATTCTATTATTATAGAAAACCAAATTCAAAAATCATTTTGTACTTAATGCCTTTAACTTTAACTTGGTAACAGTTATCTTATAATAAAAGGATTTCTTGCGCATTTGTGTGAACAAAGGTTTTTGCAACGGTATAATGTTGCAGTCTGCATACGTAACATTTTCATTGAAATAAAACTTTTGGCGATATAAACCGATAACAGATTTCTACTGCATTATTCCCATAAAAAAAATGCAGATCGGGTATATTCGATATGGGACCCATTTTCGTGAAATTTCGTATTCATTGGTTGAATATTGAACTAGTGCATAGATTCTGTTTTTTATTTATTTAATTTTAATGTTTTACTTGTATGTAGGAACAGCTTGTACAGCGTGGTATAGTAGGCCAAAACCTCTTTTCTAAGGAGAGGCCTATGTCCAGCAGTGGACTGTTATAGGCTGTTGATGATGATGATGTTTAACTTGTATGTAGGCGGATTTCTCTCTTAATCGACCTTCGGGTGGGGTAGAAATATGACGCAATAGGTGTCTGTTGCTTACCCGAAAGAAGATAAAAGAAAAAAATTGACATGAGTTTGGAATAAACTACAAACCTAAATAAGGTATAATATACATTCAGAGAAAGCAGTATTCATTACCACATTTTATTATATATTATACAAAAATTCATAGTCACTATCCTTTCATTACATAGGCTGGACAAGCATTACAGGATTACCAAGTTAGGAAGCAATTTGATTATTATTTTTTCAAAATGAGAATATTCAACGCATTTGTGACTCCTGAGTTGTAGACGTTCATGAGCGGCGTGGTCACTTTCCATTAGGTGACCCGTCTGCTCGTCTGCCCCCTCTAACATAAAAAAAACATTAATAGATTTAAGAGTATATAATTTTATAAATCGAACGAGTGTATGAAGCAACGAAATTTGATTTAAAAAACATTAAGCCCTGTTCATTTTTGTTATTAATTAATGGCCAGTACAAAGCTAAAATTGCCAGGTTAAATTCCAAATTTTAAAAAAGTTTTGTAATTATACAACTTTTAACATCTATAAAAAAAAATATTGTTCACCTTTTTTTCCCTGGTGATTTTTTTGTTTTGGCTTTTTCTCATGAAATAGACCTAATTGCGTCGTTTTTGAGTACAAATGCCATGTGTAAACCAGGTAGCGTATAAACACGTAAGTTAAATTTGTTTTCATTGCCACTGGAGTTTTCTGCAAAGCTTCATCCGTGATTCACCGGAGGTGGTAATAGAAAATTAAAAGTCATAGTGGAAGCATATAAATACTTCGACTATCAACTTAGTCAAAATTAGCAACAGTCACTACAAAAATAATATTTATAAATTGACGCATCGCACCCACAATTGTCTGATCCTAAACTAGGCAGTGCCTGTGAAGGCCCTCTGCCTTCACAGGCTCTGTTACTATGGAGTAACCAGACTGCTGATGAACAAACTTAAATATTTAAAAATCCTTCCCAAATATAAATGTTTGACTGCACGGATGGCGTAATGGTTTATGCGGTGTCCACGCCGCTTCCTACTGCGCCGAGTGTTGTGGGCTCAAAACTCACATGGATCCACAAATTGTTGTTCTGAGTCTGGGTGTTCTTTGTGTCCGCTTCATGTATATTTGTAAAGTGACCCGCGACACAGAATTGTATACCTAATGCGGGAGATTTCTTAAAAAAAAAGAAAAAGAAGTATTTATATAAAAAAATTAATTACACACATACACAGAACAAATGATTGTGTACATCATGTCATTTTTTGCGGCTGCGGTCTGGTCATCTGGCGGGCATTCAAGAAAAAACATTTTTTTTTAAATTTATTTACCAAATCAAAAGCAAAGCTAACACTCTATATGAATCGTTGTAACTCTTCATTTTGACTGCTTAGTTTCGCATGAACATTGAAATATTTGATTACAGAAATTCTTCCAAGAAAACCGTCGCCTGGCGAAGACTATAGTGGAGGCTCTACAGGACCAGCAGTTCGATGACGAAGTTCTGTTTGACATGAAGAAGGAGAATCAGGTCTACCTGAACAGGACTATGTCACTCATCATTAAATATATTGTGAAAAGGTATTTCAAGGTCAAAATTGGAGATATTTTTCTTTTCGAGGAATATGACAATAGAAACAAGCAGATAATGGTAAACGAATACTGTCACTCTTGTACAGATAGAATTCAGAAATCGTTGAAATTATATGGTCCTTAAACTGTTTAATAACTTACCGTCACAGTTACAAAGCTAATATTTAAAAACGATCCATATGAGTTAGTGAGAAAGCAATAGATAGATTCTTTTCTTTTTTATTCTTTTATTTAAAAAGGCAACTCCTGCATTAGGAATACATCCTGTGTCGTGGGGGACTTTACAAACATACATGAAACGGACACAAATAACACCCAGATAGGTAGATAGGTAGTCTTTATTGCACAACATAATTAGGATACATGCGATGGTACATACACAAAAAACAGTGATACAATGGGCGGCCTTATCGCAGCCTGCGATCTCTTCCAGGCAACCTTTAGATGGACTACACTAAATAGTAATATGTTTCGTGTGGTGCGCATTTACAATTGCGGTATATTAACTAATATTTATATACATAATTACCCATACATATACATGAATACACATTCATACACTTACATACATATATAAATATGAATACATACATAAACATCGATACACATACCCACATAGCACATAGTTATTATACAGTCAAATAGTGATCCTTAACGAGTTCTTTAAAAGTATCCACTGACTTTGCATGCCTATTAGCTTCCGGTAACGAATTCCATGTATCGGTAGAAGTTGTGGAGTGTGTTGGAATTTATAAGGTCAGGTTTAGGAACAAAATAACAATGTAAAAACGTACACGATGCATGGGTTCCACTTTTGACACCTTTATTACGCAAAAGCTGTTTAACAAAAACACACCAAATTTGGTTTAGGTATTGAGATTCCCTATATAAACTAGAAGAAGGAAAACTTGACACAAACCCTATAGGTACCAACCCGTCTGGCCAGCGTGGTATAGTAGACCAAAACCTCCTTCCTAAGAAGAGGCCTATGTCCAGCACTGGACTATTAAAGGCTGTTGATGTGATGTGATTTGATATAAACTAGTACCCCAAATTTAATAAACATAGCTTAAATGGTTCCATAGATATTACCTATAGCCTATCTTACACTATCGCCTTAAATTCGTCCTTTTTGACTATAGTTACCGGCGGACCCCAAGGTTCGTTCTTCAACTCAAAATTTCCAGATCTAAAATGATTGAACCAATAATGTCCCATATTTATGCAAGCGGTGTTAGATTCGTACACGTTGTTAATATTTTGTGGTGTTTGCACAGCGGTATTTTCATATTCGAAAATTTTACCCATTTTCAGTTTATCCATGGCGCCAAAAACTACCACAAATTCACAAAACAAAACACTATCTGAAACAAAGGACTAAAATTTTAAACTGAAATGGCTTGCAAATATAATTTATTTGAATTTCGGATTGCGCGCCAATCTACAGATAATTAAAACTGAAAATGTTGCTTTTAAAAATCTCGGACCTATTATTAACATTTTTTTACTATTAAAACAATTTTTTTTATTGTTTGACTGACAGTTTAGAAACATAACCCACTTCCAGATGACGTATAAAGTTGAAAGGCGTCCAGTTAGGTAATTGTGTATAAAAAGGGAAAAAAACTGTATTTCCATTGTAACAAACTAGTCATCTTACATTTAGCTATTCGAATTTACATCTTTATATACAAGTTATAACTGTTTTTATTTTGTAAGTTTCTATCTTTCTACATATATAAATTGTCCTCACAGACTGGACAGGTCAAAAGGTAAGGTCAATAGGTTATAGCCTATTTACTTTGTGTAAATAATAATATTTGTGTAAAATGTTATTTTAAAATAGCAAATATTGTTGTAACAGAAAAAAAAAGAAGAAGAAGTTTTAAGTTTACTTAAGGGTGTTATAAGGTCTTATTGTAGATTGTCTCCACAACGATATATGGGAGCCACCCATTTTCTATATCCCATATGTTTTTGGTAGGCTAAATCTTGACAAAATAGCGAAAAAAATACTTATTAAAAGAATAATATTAAAAAATGTTTCAGGGAAGTAGACAATTATCGCTCTCGACGCACCGATGCCATCAGTCGCCGTATTTATACCTCGCTCGTCATGAAACTTATCGACATCGCAAAGGTAAAACTAACATACACATTTTCAATACTCAAATCAACTTAACTCTCTCTCCGGAACATTTTGAACTATCCTAAGGTGCCTGGCAGAGATTGCTCTTCGCAATAATGCCACCTTTTGTATATATCATATCTTACAATATTATGTATGAGACGATTCTTGTAAAAATAGTGTACGAATAAAGAGTCTATCTATCTATCTATTAGTATCTATATATAATAAATGCAGGACCCAGAAACACTTGTTCTTGGTCTCGATCTCTTAATTTCAGCAAGATTTTTCCAAATCTTACGATTAATTTATGATTAGCCTATTGCTATTTTATATTTTATATTATTTCCCGCCAAAAAGACTATTCTTAGAAACATTAGCAGTGTCTTTATTTGTGTTTTATATCTTACTAGTCGTAGCTGTACATGGCATGCTTTGCAATGCCACGTAAAATATAAAGAAATAAACAAAAAACATAATATTAATATAGTTTTTTATTAATATATTCGGCCAGTATCCCTCGCGGGCGTCCTCAGTACATCAAACCATTTTTCTTCACAATGTGATCAATGGATTCAAAAATAGTACACAAAAACAAAATGTTCAAGTTATTGATTTCATATAGTTAAAAATAATATAAAACCTCCTTTTATTTTGACCTAGTCATAGAACAAAAGTCTATACAATGATAATTTAATACTGTTAATAAACTAACACTTTCAGAACGGTCACAATTCGACCGCCAGGGAAAACCCTACTATAAGTTATACCATTTTTTTCCTAGAATCAAGGTTATTTGTCATAATTGCACTTCTGACACGAAATTAGGTGATATGGTACACTTGTTTGTAATCTTAATTAAGTCAAATAAACACGAACGTATATAAATGAATGCCGTCATAGGGACTATTAACTGATATGTGTTTTAAAATATTAAAGGTATGTTTCAATTGCTTTGATTTATGGTTTCCTTATAGTTTATTGCTATGAATATAATATTTATCTGTTTATACCTAATTGATTTACGGTCGTTTTAAGATTAAACCGTATTGGATTTGGGAGAACTACTGACATTTTGTTCTCATCAAATTTTGACCTTTGACTACTAAGGTCGAAGGTCAAAATCTTACCTTACATCATAAAAATCGGTTGTCTGTAAGGTCGGTTTAGTGACGATAGTTGAACGTGACAACGTCGTAAGAAAATAATGATGGAATGGTTGCATTTTACGAAAACATGTAAATATATTATTGTATAGCAGCTGTCCACGCGGACGCATCGCTCACTCAAGTAGGAGAGAGACAGATGTCAAAAGCTGCCGAAGGCGGAGGCCGATTGTGCCTCTTTGTCGCTCGTTCCGCGCTCTCGCTTGCACTTCAAGCCTTAAATGGAACGCCTCAGAGCGAGGTAACGCCGCATGAGTCATGTTTTTTCGAGCGTGCAGCCGGCTCCATCGAATTATAAGACGTTGTCACGTCAAAAATATTCAAATGGAGTTTTAGAAATGGAGAAAAGAAATAAAATGATAGTTCTTCTTCGGCATTATTAATTCGGCAGAAATTTCAACTGTCTATGCTGTTAGTTAGATGGAAAGTGGCGCTTAGGAATTGGCTTCCGTTCTCACCTTTTGGCCGTTGTGTATGTAGTGTGATGCGTGATGATATGGTGATTGATGATAACATGTATTTGTTCCAGGACCTGCCCAGAAACACCTCGTACCAAAATCGTATTGACACGGCTCACCGCTACTACATGTCGGTGGAAAGTCGTGATATGCACGACCAGATGGCAGACATCCAGGTGTTCCACGCATGCGCACGGCTCTACGACATCATGTTCACTGTCAGTTTAAGTGTTTATTTTGTTATAGTTTACTTGGAAAACAAACAGTATCTTATATCTAACTAATATCCTTACTTGATTTGTTAAATGCGAAAGGGACCACACCGAGTGTTGTGGGTTCAAACCCCACATGGAACGACACTTTCTGTGATCTACAAATTGTTGTTCTGAGTCTAGGTGTTCTTTGTGTCCGTTTCATGTATCTTCTTTTAAAAAAAAAGGAAGGTTTGTGTGTGTTTCTGTGTCTATGTATGTATGTACAAATAAACATAAATATAAATTGTAAAATAGATTAAAGAAAAATGTTTCCATACAAAAAAGAAGACATATTGGCATATAGATCAGATTTTATCATTATTTTATCGATTTATTTTCGTTGGATCCCAGTTTTGTATCGCATTTTATGGCGTTGGATCCAAAAAAATATATTTTGTGTTACCGTTTGATCCCAAATTAAAAAAAAATACGTTTTATTGTCGCTGAATCCCAAAAATCTATTGCAACCTAAAACAATCTTGTGTGTTTTATGATAAAAAGTATCCAACACTAGATAGTAGAATAGAACATTTTGTCATTTTCATTGTTACTTTACTCATGCGAAGCCAGGGCGGGCAGCTAGCTACTATACCTATACACATATTATATTTATAAGTTTCTGTTGGACTAAAATTATTATCTAATTTTTCAACACCTTGTACCGTGTTATCCCACTCGTTGTTTACGGTCCAATAGTTATCCATACTTATATTTTTTAATATGAAAGTGACTTTGTTTATTTGTTTATTTGTTTCTTTCACGCCTAAAATACTAAACCGATTTTAAAAATTCTTTCACCAATGGAAAGCTACATTATCAGCGAGTAACATAGACTACTTTTTACCGCGATAAACGACATACAAAATGGAGCCCTAGCAAAAGGTAGTCAGTAAATAAACAGATGACTAGTTAATCAAAGAAGCTGTACAAATGAACCTTTCAAGTGTATAAAAATATTGACCTTGTATACAAACAGTAATCGACTAACCGCCTGCGGTTTATACCGCCTAATGAGTATAGTAATAGTTTTCTTTTAGCTGCTTTCCAATACACTCTGGATTAATCACATCGTGACATAGTTACTTGTATCATCATCAACAGCCTTCATTTGTCCACGTTTTGGCCTAGTTTACCACGCTGGCCAGACGGGTTGGTTCAGGGTTTGTGTCAAGTTCCATCTCTTTTCATTGCTGTTGCCCTACGTGGTTAGCTCCCTTAGTCGGTACTTACGACAACATTTGTGGTGAAGCCACAAAACCTCCTTTCTAAGGAGAGGCCTATGTCCAGCAGTGGACTGTTAAAGGCTGTTGATGATGATGATGATACTTTAGTACATTTTATTTAAACGTAGGAGAGCCTTGCTTCGACAAACATGGGCTTACTCGACCGGAGTGATGTCACAAATTCACAGACAACCGGTGTTAAATAAGTTTTTTATTGATTTATACCGATTGGTTTATATCCCCCTATCCCTGGGGAGAGGGGGACATTTTTAGATGTTGGTGCTTGAGGATTCACTAACAGTTTTAGTATATATCTTGACCTGACATGTTACAAAAAGTTTATAAGTGACAGGTGAATTTACACAGGTCATTGAAATAAAATAATATATTCAAAACATTTGACTGCCTCGGTAATGCAGTGGTAGAGTATGGGACTGCTGTGCTAAGGTCTCCCTTTCACTTGCCGGGTCGGACCAAATGTTTGTATGATCTGCAAATATTTGTTTCGGAGTTTGGGTGTTTTCTATCTATAATATGTTTGTATTTACAAAAAAAGTTTATAAGTATTTTATCAGTCAATCTAGCTTTCATAGTACAAGCTCTGCTTAGTTTGAAACTAGATGGCGTTGTGTGTTAGATGTCCTAAAAGAAAAATATATTAAAGCGTTTTTTTACTAACCTAAATAAATACAATAGAGCGTAATTCTATCTTTACTCAGGAAAATTGGAAATACCTTTTCGTTAAAACGTTTTGTTTTCTTTCCAGGCTCCTAGAATCTTATCAGCACTGGGCAAATTTGACGATCTGACTCCCAGGAGCTTAGTCAGGAAACTGAATGATATGGAGATCAAACCCGTACACCTGGGAGTTGCACTACTAATTCAGGTGGGTCACGTGTTTCTGAGAGAAGGTTCTCAAATCCTGGTAGACTTGGTTATTAGACTAGGTTAAGGGATGCTGCAAGTCTTGGATCGGCATCGAAGAGGTCAGAGTCGCCTACCCATATCTTCCTGTGATTGCATAGGTCACTGGAACAGGGTCTCAATTTATTTCAGTTCTAACACTTATAATGGCCTAGTGTGATTTCTGATCAACTCGATGGTCGCGGTGACCTGCGTTCGGCATTGTGATAGGTCCACACTGAACACATCACCGATCGAATCGATGTTAAACTAGGCCCCTGAATGTTGTTTACAGTATCACCTCCGTAGTACCGTGAACTTTGCGCTTCGCACGAAGACCCTGGACGTGTTATCGACTAAACCGCAGGATGTTGGTCCTCAAGTGATCGACATGCTTAAATCACTGGCGACCAGATTGTTGCCAGTTGCAGAGCTCCTGGACATACACCTGGCGCACTCCAGCCCAGCTTTCAAGGATACCTGTCCTTCCACTTGGCTCGGCATTGTTAATAATAAAGGATAAACTTGAAAGTAATTTACTTAATTTATTAAAATTTAGTATACCAGGAGGATCTCTTCTGTGCCTTTAAGGATTCGAATACAATCCAAATACATTTAAAATCATTGAAATCATTCCTTTTTTATTTGGAGTTAGTTTAAAAAAAAGCAAAAGCATTTTACAATGTTGTACATTGTAAAATGCTTTTGCCATGTTTCTTTATGGTCGCTTGAATGTTGCCAACGTTAAACTGTAAGTAGCAGTAAGTAACTTCTACCACCCTATGAGAAGCATGCTAGGGTGGCAGAACGCATGCGCCTTATACTCGTGGAAGCAGGAAGTAGACACCGTAATCCCAATACGCGAAAAATCCCTAGTACCCCAACGATGTTCCGGGGCCATCTACAGCTTATAAATGGCCCCGGACCATCGTTGGGGTAGTAGGGATTTTAGGGGTTACAGGTTCCCCAGCTTCTGGTATCCGAGACTGTTTTCAATCGGTTCGAATCCGACATTACCATGCCACCGGTCGTCTTATGGGGGTGTCCGAGGCGATTTCCGTACGGAAGAAAGGGTCGGCCAGTTATCATTATTTCCCTTCTAAATATAAACATATTGAACCCATTTAATTTGCCATATAAACAAATAAAAGAGCATCTCAGTATACTCACGATAGCGAGCCAATCGCATCGTTTGTATTACCAAATCCCAATATTAATATCAGAGGCAATCGGCTTGTGTTATATATAGCAGTATAGGTCACGGTGCTATCACATACCGGACAGAGGTTTTTATTAGACAACACGTAGATTTATCGCTGTATCATCGACTTTTACAGGTCTACTCTGAGTTTATAAAAGAAACATTGTTGTAACTAGAAAGTTAAAATACAATGGTATGTATAACGAATCCAATATTTTTAAAATATTAATAAGAAATGTAAAGGAATAAGAATCGTATGAGCTCACGGCTGAAGGTTTGCCTGAGTGGCTGTGCGTTTCACTGTTTACGGCCAAAGGTGATTTAAAATTCCGAAAATAAAACAAAACACTCCGAATTTGAGGAGTTCAACACGAAAAAGGAACGAAGTAGCATTCGAAAATATTTACAATCCATTTCATCAAACGCAACTATTTCGTCTCTCCGTAGCGTAATAAAATCACATCTAATTTACGCTATATCATCATAGCAAAATGGGTTACAGACCCACCCGCTCGCACGACAACTTATTTAAAGTAAAAAAATATAAATATATTTAATAAGTACAAACAGTTTTATCGACTGTTTTATGTGAGAACAAATACAGAGAAAAGACAGGCGCGGCGTCGTGTTCATAAATTGTGTCGGACCTGCGTAAGCGCCGATATTATAATATAGGGCATGATGACGTCATTATGGCTACTTTTATCGACGTCGTTCGTGTTCTGTCGCTAGTAAAATTTGTTTTCTTTGATATAATATTTGTATTACACGGTAATACGACATTATTAGAATATTATTATGTACAGAAACAATGGTTTGTTCCGTCATTTAATATTCGTTTATCAAGTAAGAAGACTTTAATACTTTAAAATATCCTCCGTGTAGATAACAGTTTGATGAAAGAAGAATTCAGGCAAAGTGGCTTTAAAGTGCTTAGAACCGTAACGCCGTTTTCTTTACCCCAATATAACATTTACCCGTCTGAAAACGATAACAATCCCTTGGAGGGGTTATGTATAGCAGCGCCATTTCAAAGGGTTTTTGTTGCTTTCTTTTATATCCGTAAAAAAAATCAACCAAAATGCAATGTTCTAAATTGAACAGAACCCAAATAGATTTAGGGGAGCAGCCGAAAGATTTTAAAGAGGATTGTTTTATCATCGACAAAAAACCCAGTAACCTTCCAAATTTACAACTATCAATGTCATTATATCTATCACTATCAGTATATAAGTGTCACCACCCCTATTCATCCCCTGGGTGTCCTAAGAGGCGACTAAGAGAGCAAACTGCGCAGGACAACAGCGCGGCAAAGAGAAGAAAAACTTGACACAAACCCTACCAACACGTCTGGCCAGCGTGGTATAGTAGACCAAAACCACCATTCTAAAGAAAGGCCTATGTCCGGCAGTGGACCATTAAAGGCAGTTGAAGATGATGATGATCAGTGCATCAGTGTGATCTGTGTCTCAACACACGATTATTTCCTTGGGTAGGTTATCAATTTACACCGACTTCTGGATTTGCAAAAGAAATCACTAATAGTGGTTAGTTAAAAAAAAAAATTTTTTTTTTACAAAACTTACTTCTTTCTAGGCGTGTTTTTTAATTACTAAAGTTCGTATTTGATTTGTTACTTCAGTGTTTTACTAGGTTTCATTCATCTCACTCTTTCTTCAGCATGTCAAAAAACAGTGTGATTTGGAGATCTAAGATAAATTTCATCTGATCCGACCAGAGGAGAAGTGTCCTTCCACGTGATCTTTTTCGCTCTACTCTGCCCAGAATGATACCGTTTTCAAGGTATCTGGACCATTTCTCTCCAAAGTAGCTCAGAATTTTCTAGTATATTATTTTATATCTTACGGAGGTATACCTTAGGAATAGATTTAAATTAAAAAGTTACGACAAAGAAAAGTATTGGTTTTAAATGCAACCACTAAACTATCATAAATAAGTTACTCACAGAATTTTAATACATCTCACGGCGTCCGAAATGGTGTTATGGGGTTTTAATTTCACTGGTACATAAGACACGCCTTATGCAAATTCGCAGGCTATATAGGACCATGTAAAAGATTTTGTTTTGAATATAAACGGAACCGCGTCATTAAGTTAAATTTAATTTTTTCTCACAGCAAAATAAAAAGGTGTATTCATAATTAGATTCCAGACTTCTCTCACATAAAGGTTCGGGTACACTCCCGTGGTACGTTTAAATGCTGATCCAGCTGCTGAGGACCGTCATAAAATCATACAAAATACACCCTTTTAACTGTGTAGGCATGCTTGTTCGTGTTTATTTTTAGATTTTTTGTGACAACCTTGCATTTCAAGCCGTGTTGATAATTTCTTTTATTGAAACCCCTACTGAAAATACGAGAACGTCTTCTTATTGTGTTTCTATAAGTAAGAATTATGAAAAGAAAACTGATGGTGCGTAATTCTAAAGGGTTTGGAATCGTGATCTAGTGGTTCCGGATTCGAACACTACCTAGTGCCTTACTGATATGAATCGTCTATATTTTTACGACTGTAGGGACCTCACCTACCGGAGTTTGTGATCAGAATCGAACCGATTAAATCCACATGGTGTACCAGACTGCGTTTAGAATAGGTGGAATCCAGGACCAATTGTTATTAAGTCCACGTATTTACAAACCCTACGTTATCTGCAGGAGGGGGGATTAAAAGAATAGACATCAATTAGTAATATAAAGGTCGACCTAATTTGTTAAACCGATGATTGGCAAAGTAACATCCACTTTTTTATGACTCCCAGTAAAAATAATTTAACAATTTAGAGTTACCACTACAATTATAAAACTGAAAAGTACGCTCGTTTGGTTGAACGCACTAGTTGTAGAAACAACTGGTTCGAATTTAATTTTTTTTTTTTGTTGAATAGCTCATTTATAGAGGAAGGCTATACGACGTAGGCCGAAACCTCCTTTCTAAGGAGAAGCCTATGTCCAGCAGTGGACTATTAAAGGCTGTTGATGTGATGTGATGGAATATATACGTGACGCTACGAATCATAGGAACGGAGGTTCAATAAAAATGCAGTAAAAACATTGCAAAAAATTGTTCCTTTTAAAAAGTTTAAAAAAAAACCACGATAGCATAATATATCTATATTTTAAAATGTCTCTCTTATATGACGCAGACGGAGTTGCGGGGTTCAGCTAGTGCGTATATAATAGCCTTCATTTACTTTCCAATATTGATAATAAAAAAAACACGCCATTCTCAAATAAAGACGAAGTAACAACTTTTTGAACACATTAAATCCTTTACGCAAACGCTTCATTTTAGGTTTACAAATAGCATATAAACAAGAGTATTTTATAACAATACTGGCAACATTAAGTAAAATATAACTCCAAAGTACTGACAGAATCTGAAACGTAACACGGCTCCCAAAGGGTTAAGTAAGTACCGTCAGCAAATCAATTACACCAGTAACCCTCCAATGCGAAGGCGGCAGACCCGAGTATTTTTCGCTACAAATAAGCTCAAGATTTATGCGTGTTTCTGTCCCGCTATTCCGGAAAGATTTTGGTCACTACGACCCGACTACGGGTATAAAAATGGCCGGATCTGATATCAGGGTATTAAATGTTTGGGGTGTTGATGTACTAAAACCTGGGGATAATGGGGAAATATGCGCATGAAGGATATTTGATAGCGTCAAAAAACAATTATGACTATACTATTTCGATGTCTATATATTCTTACTCTTTGAGTAATATCTAATTAATATACTATACTACTTTCATACTAATATTAAAAATGAGAAAGTGTGTCTGGCTGTCTGTTACCTCTTCAAGCTTAAACCGCTGAACCGATTTAGATTAATTTTGGTATAGAGATAGTTTGAGTTCCGGGAAAGGGTATAGGATAGTTTTTATCCCAGAAATCAAACTTCAAGGGGGTGAAAAAGGGGATGGAAGTTGGTACACATGGGAAATCAATAACCGCTGAACCGATTTAAATGAAATTTGGTATGGGGATACCAAACCGACATACAGTAAAGCTAGTAATGTCTAAATGTGATTATTTAAAGAAACTTTACCCTCCGGTTATACTGGTACACAAAAAGTACAGGAAAATATACTTAGAATTTACTAGCCCGTTAGTTTTCCTAATTAATTATTATTCCTAATAATAATAATTCCTAATAAATAATTATTAGAACCAGTTACTCTTTACTTTATTTAAATACTACAAAAAAGAAAAAAAAAGTTATATTTTTAAGCTATCACAAAATTTTGTACACTTCAGTGGGAAATAAAAATGTTAGCACTCTGTTTCACATGCAT